CATCGTTTGTTTCATCTTTCGCCGTGCTGCATGTAGAGAAATGTCGCATGCGAGCAACTCTTGAGGAGGGATTACTGAAGATTGAGTGCACAGCTGATATGAAGGAAACTCATGGTTGTGTTCCATCGCCTGCGAACATTTTTCTAGTAGTAGTGCGGCTCGAATTTAGAGCTGTTGAAGAAGAGAACGCGATACTAAGACCTGCAAATGGATCCAGGACGGTCAAGTCTATGGCTTCTTCTTCGGTATTCCGAAGACTTGAAACGCTGAGGCTGGCATGGAAACGACCGAATTGCACAAGCAGTGAGCCTCACAAAGACTTGCGCTCAAATCTGAAGGGAGATGCATCATACCGCCGCATCGGTGAGTGTCTCTACTGACACACATGGTGGCCATCATTGCGATCGAAGAGAATGAAGATGGACTGGACTAGCTTACTCGGCAATCTAGAGGCAATCTATAGGGAGAAGTCAAAATGGTTCGAGAAATTATCTGTTAGCCTGCCGGTGCTCGTGGTGGACTATGGATGAATTTGATCGTTCGGATTCATTCATTCCTGCAATTCGTACACGTTCTTTGAAAGCTATCATTTATATGACAATCTGTTGCACAAGTCGCCCTTTGGAATTGCTGAAGCCTGCAAGATTATCATACTGTACGATCAGGGTCTGATTCGAATATCGTCCCCCACCATGCACCTTGGATCAAACAATTTGACTCGACAATCCGTTGATATCTTGATCTGTTTGTACGCATCCTTGGAGCGGATCTGTTCAGAATGATGCAATGCCGTCCCGGGGCTACTGAAGGAAACTGTTCTGATAGATGACAATCGACAATCTGCTGGTCCAGTTCACTTTTGAAGTTGAGTACTTCGAGCCTCGTAGGCCTGTCTACTATAGTAGTCAGCTACGTTTGATATGCTTCAAACAATCGACAATGAATCCTTGGTTCCAAGTGAAGTGAAAGAACAAAAATGAAGTCAGTAAAGAATTTGAATGATTTGGAAAGAATCAGTTTTTCTAGATTTTTAATGTATCAATAGTACATCATCTCATTCTGGATTCTTAGCACAGATCAGAGAATAATGCGATTAGTGTGTTGTGAGGAACTCTGGAAAGTTACTAATCGAGGTAACATTTGAACAATTCACATCACATGATAATTCTGCAAGTGTAGCATGGTCGCAAAAGGTTTACTCCCATCCGGCCTCGGAAGTGGCAATAACGTATGCGGCAACATCAGCGATGGCATCGTCGTCAAGACGTCCTCCGAAAGAAGGCATGGCGTTCTT